CTATTTTTGCCCTAGTTTTCTATCAAGTATTTTCTAAATGTTCTTCAGGAATCTGGCCTTTCAGTGTACGTGTGTGTATATACATGCATGCATATTTTTAAAATTAGCAAACTCTCCCTAAAGTTAGGTAAAACATTTTTACTAAACTATCATTGGTCTTCTGGCAGTTATAGAAATTACTTATTAGACAGTGTATTTTTTTCTTATTGCTAAAATTTTTACTTAGTGGGTTCATATAAAAAAATATTTCACCACTTATTCAAGTTTTCTTTTATAATATGCAGTGAATTTTGCAATTAACTTAAAAATGCAACCCGAACTTGAGTATATTTATGACTAGAAGTTTATAAATTTATTTATGATATTGTGCCCAGAATGACAAACACTTTGAACTGATTTTTTTTTAAACACTGCATTTTAAAATCATGTTAGCATATTGTGGTGAAAGAGGGTATGTTTATAAAATACCCAAGCTATAAATTCTGTAAAGTTTTCTACTAAAACTGAAAGCTTCTGAAGTTCCTTAATAAATATAGCAACAACATAAAAGCAATTCTGACTTGACCAGCAGGTAAATAGACATTAACCAGAACATCATGTGAAAAAAAAAGAATGAAAAAGACATTCGATTAAACAAATAAAGGAATACCTGTTCACTAGAGAAATATCCATGCACATATTCAATTGCTTTTAATTTGTATTCTGTCAAAACAGCCTAAGAAAAAGAAAAACAGCATTATTATATGTAAGCAGAAGAGTAATATGTATACAGCAAAAATATCTAAGCTACTCAAACAGTGGAAATCTTCAGCCCAGCATGCAGAGTCAGCTAAAGTCACTGTGGTGACATGACATTCTATCTTTCCAGGTTCCATGCTTCAAGGGGTACACTGAGACAGTAGGAAAACTTTCTGGGCCTCCCTACTCACTCCTACAAAAAAAGGAATTATAACAGATAGGATTTGACATTAATAGAAATTATACATAGAATTTATGTACTAGTAAATGTAATTAGATTTTCTAAACATCCCAAATTCAACCAAGTTGTCATTTTTAAGAAGATTAAGTGTATCAGATATTACCCATGCGTTTATTATTTATTCAGCACCTATTATGTCAAGGCTCTCAATCTTTCTGTGGGGATATGAGAACCGAAGTAGCTAGAACAGGGGTGGGCAAACTTTTTGACTCGAGGGCCACAATGGGTTCTTAAACTGGACCGGAGGGCTGGAACAAAAGCATGGATGGAGTGTTTGTGTGAACTAATATAAATTCAAAGTAAACATCATTACATAAAAGGGTACGGTCTTTTTTTTTTTTAGTTTTATTCATTTCAAATGGGCCGGATCCGGCCCGCGGGCCGTAGTTTGCCCACGGCTGAGCTAGAAGGTTCTGAATTCAATCTATGCACCTGCCAAAAACTGGCAGTGTGGCTTTTGAGAGGAATTTTAATTATCCTGAGCACCTCCTTACCCATAAAATGGAATAGCATTCATTACCCACTTCAGAGTTATGATTAAAATAGTCAATAATAGATCTGACATATAATAGGTATTCAGTAAGAGATGGTTCCTATCCTCATGTGGCATCTATCAATGGGAAATTCAGAGGGAAGTCCGGTGGCCTCGACCAGCATTATCTAGAGCTCATTGAAATCAGATAAACTCTCTTTTCGACTATTTTCAGAGTTTATAGATGAAAACACTAGATTACCATAATTTGGTAACTATTAGTCATTAAAAATTAACCAATCCCTTTGCTTTTACTATAAAACAATGGTATTTGTACTTTCCACATATCTTTTTGCTAGTAGAAAATACTATGGCCAATCAAGTAAGAAAAACATCCAAGGTCTAATTTTTATTGAAATGGGGAGGGAGAGAATGGCATTCTGGATAATGTACGCTTGGGAGTTTGACTATCATTATCATTACTGAACACAGTCAAAAGCAAGTTTCTGGACAAAATCCTAGATTGTGTTGATGCCAAAACATGTCTCAATTCTTTCATCAGTACCCCAGAGGCATGGCTGTATCCCCAGGCACAACAGCATAGCACTGTGGAGTTAGACTGCCTTAGTTTGAATACTGGACCACAACACCCTTCCACCCTTTCCCCTTCCCATCTGGATAACTGAGCTAACTAGCTAACCTCACAAAGACTAGGTTTGCCATCTGTAAAATAAAGAGTATAGTACCTACACCTCATGGATTGTTAGCAGGTTCAAGTCAAATAGTGCATACAGTGCATGGAGAAAGTGCTTAAAACAGGCTTACATAGTAGGTACTCACAGTACTATTCTTACTTTCTGTTTGAAGAGCAAATTCAACATTGCCTTCCCCCTACTATATTTCTTTCCTAATGTCTTTGCACATGCCTTTCTCTCTTAGTGACTGTAGTGACAGTCATTATTACCTATAAACCTAAGGTGACACTCAGGAAGAGATTACCTGGTTTAAACTGACCTACATTTACAAAGTCTGAGAGTAACTTTAAAAAACCAATAGTAATTCTCATATTTAGATATGCCTATATTTTTATCCCATTTTAATAGACTAAGACAATATTGTCGCATCTAATTATTTGGCATAGACAGCAAAGACATCTTGATTGAAAACCAGAAACAATGACTTAAGTTGCTATCTTGTGTGAACAGGATTTCCATCTTTGAGGAACTTGTTATTCCCCTCATTAGTATTTACTGTGTGATCTTTTCACAACTTAGGAGGGAGAAAATATGCAAAGCACCCTATAGCTTCCAACAGTAGAAATCTACTGGTCTACCTCAATGCATAAATTATTTTCTCATAAACAGTAGTTAAATACCAGCTCATGAACAAATTGTGGCAAATTCTAAATATAGAGTTAGCAAGCTGATACTTTATTGCAAATCTTATTTAGACAAACTGGGTTTGTGAAATCAGAAATTTCATTCAAAAAAGAAGATTCAATATTGCCGAATATGTAAATTTCACCTCACATGCAAATTGGAAAAAGAAAAATGAGTTATAAAAAATGACGAAAAACAACATTTTGCTTTATAGATAATAAAGAAAAACAGCATATCCACAGGCAATTTAATTAATAATTTCATAAGCTGAAACAAATAATAAGCACCAGAGCACACAGTAACAAATCTTTCCAAGTCAACCAAGGGTCTTAAAGGTATGGAAATATGGAGATAACTGCCTGGGAGTTCTAAGCAATGGACCCTCTATTGGAATGAGAATGTTACAGGAAGTACCTCTAATTCTACTTAGGCAAACTGTTATTTCTGGGTTTGAAGTAGTTATGCTCAAGGCTAAATTTCAAATTTTTTTTGCTGTCTGATTCATTCTGGGAGGTAGGCTATATACACAATGGTCTCAAAAAGGAGCAAAAACTTGGAAAGCAAGAGAAAAAAGTTTTGGAATTCAAGTTATTGAAGCCCATTCCTAAGGGTATGACTTTAAACTTAATAACACACTTTTCATTAAGGCACAAATTTTGTCAGGCCGTGTGCCAATTCTCAGATTTTAAAAATCAGTCATGGTAATAACAACCACTACTAAAGGAATGTTCTACACATTTGCTCTAGCTTTCAATGTCTTATGTTACTGAAAGATGAGGAAATCGGTTCAGAAATAGTAAGTCACAGTAAATCCAAAAGTACAGAGCCGTGAAATGTATCAAGACATAAGGTCCTACACTATATATTGATTAAAATTCCAACCAATTTTGCAATCCTAAAACCCGTATTTTACACAATCTGCACAGTAGCTCAACGAGAATAAACCATGAGAATTCGTAGCTTATAAAATGATTTAAAGAATAAAATGTAATTACCTTTCTAATTTCATCCAGCACCATTTCAAAGGACTTTTTGTCCATCTTGACTACTCTCTCGACGTGGTTTTAACAGTTATACTTTCAATTACAAAACGTTCGTCAGCTCTGAGGTAAAAATGTTTACAGTTGAGGAGGAAAAAGACGTCAGGAGCAGGAGAAAGGATGAGAAGAGGTAGACTACTTAAAACTCTGAAAAAAATTCTAAAAATGGAGACTTACAAAGACTTTTTATTTATTTTTTAAAAAGCATCAGGCTTCCCCAGCTTTTCACACAAAGCTTCAGGACACTTTGGAGAAGAACCGGGTCCTTTCTGAGCCCCGCTGGGAAACCCGGGTTTCTGCAGCCAGAGCTGAGCGTGCTTCCGGGCAGCCGAAGGGCCGGTGCCGCGGGGGGAAGGCCTCCAAGCCGCTTTCCCAGGTAAAGCCGCAGGGAGAGCAGCCCCCCGAGCCCCGAGTCCCGCGGATGGCGCGGAGAGGTACCGGCCTCTCCGCCCGCACAAACACTCCAGCCCACGGCCCTCACCACCGCGAACCTGGACTCGCGGCCCAGCTCGCGCTCATTCCAGCAGCTCCGAAGGACACTTGGGTTCGCGCAGCCCGGGTAGCGGAAGGCTGGCAGGCTCTTTGTTACCAACTGCCTCAGCTTCAGGGAGCGGGCCGGCGGCCGGAGCGCCCCGGGAGCCGAGCGAAGAGAGGCACGGTTTCGGGCAGGGGGACTCCGGAACCCCGCAGTAACAACGCGGCCAGGAGCCCTTCCCGATTACCCTTACAGCTCCCACCGGCTCAACTGGGCCTGCAACGAAACCGCCGCACGCGAGCAAACTCAATGCTGTGCCGCTAGTTTAGGCCACTCTTTCCTGAAAGCCAACGGAGGGGTCCTTGTGTGGGAACATAGGTATCCGTGACGTGTGCCTGAATTCCTCAGAATCAGATGCAGATGACACCCTCCGCACAACCTGGAAGCCATTTTTTGAGGGCCACACCCTATATCTTGGGCTTGTGTGTGCTAGCTTCTGATTGGTCAATCTTAATTTCAAAAATAGGATCGTCAGTCGTTATGGCAGAGATATGGGCGCCCTTATCTTGGCAGACAGAAGATGTCTTCAGCGTAGGACCGCTTTCCCAGAGGGGCGGGGTTGGGTTGGTCACTGGGTCAGCCCCAGGGCACGTGACATGGGGGCGGGGACGCAGGAAAGCTCCAGAATCCCAGGTCGAGGGCTAACAGTCTTCCGCCCACTCTGTGCTCCTTTCCGGTTCTCAAACCCCAAGCATGGAGGAAGGGAGGTTGGCGATAGGAGCCTGAGTCCGGAGGCCGGGCAGTCTGTGTGCTGCAAAGAACCGAGTGGACCTAACGCTGTCTCAGCCTCCTAACGCCGGCAGAAGCTCCTCGTCGCGCTTCCTGTTTCGTCATGGCGAGATTCTGGCTGTGCGCGGGCTGCACTGTCCTTTTCCTTGCATTTCTGAATTTACATTTGCGCTTTTCTGGCTCTTCGGTGAGTTGAATAGTGAAGAAGAAATTGATGCTTGTGGTGTGGATAGCACTTTTGGGAGGCGATGCTTCCCTCTGCAATGGAGGTGGTGCACTAGCTTGTCTCAAACGGGGTGTGGGTGAGGGTGGTTGAGCGGAACCCCGAGGTGTTGTCTTGTCTCTTAGTTTTAAAATGTTTGTACAGAGGGTTCCTAACTTATGATTTTTCTACTGTGGGATAGTGCAAAGGCGATACCATTCAGTAGACACTACTTCCACGGGCTAGCACTATGCAAGCCTGCTACTCTCTCCTGATGCTACAGCTGCTAGACAGTTCTCAGCCACACGATCAGGAAGACAAAACAGTTGATGCTATACACTGTGTTGTCAGCTTTTTTTGGGGGGGGGGGGGCGGTGGGGAGAGATATTGTATTTTCGGATCCCATCATGTTTATAAACACACACCTGTGTCTTCTGCTTCTGGTGAGAAGAGAAAGGCTTCGTGAGTTGAAACAAGATAATTGCCCAACTATAGGATAATGTGTGTTCTGAGCACGTTTAAAGTAGGCTAGGTTATGAGCGATAGGTTACCTATAGTAATACATTTTTAAAATTATGATGGACTTATCGGGATGTAAATCGAGGAGCATCTGTATATGGTGCATTCTCTTCTTTCTCACCTACCACTACAGCCTCAAAGACTTTACAGATTTGTATTTTGGTCGACTTGGTCTTTAAAAGTGTCAGACCATTCCTTCCCAAACATTTCTGACTTCTGTGGATAGAGGTGTCAAGGTATGCTTAGAAAGTAAGCTTTTTTTTTTTTTGCTTTTTCAACCTAGACTGTAAACTGAATCTTAATCTTCTGACTTTATTTAAGGTTTTAAGAGAGTTTATTTTTCAAATTTCCTGGAGAAGTGAGGAAATTCTTTACCAGCTGGATGTGGGTTGGCCTAAGCATTCAGAGTACTTTACTGGAGCAACATTTTGTGTTGCAGTTGACTCCCTGAATGGACTACTTTACATAGCCCAAGTAAGTAAAATGGGGATTTTAAAAAACAACACATGAATACAAAAGGAGCAACAGCCTGTTTTACTGTACTAAGTCATATATGTTTACATCATGCCAGTTATGGAATTTGTTTTTTTTAATTGCTTTGAAGTGAATATATGACTTTGAATTTGATAGATATTGTGTTAGGTGTTGAAGCTAGGTTTGTAAATGTTAACATTTTTTGATTAACTTTACTTTTTGTTTCTCTCTGCCAAAATAAAGATTACTTCCTTAAAACTGACCT